CACGTCTATTTCAAGCAGGCTCATTAATTGATACAAAAACTTATTCAGAAATATTATCCGAAGTTTATGCACCACCAAATATCAAGTGCAAAGAAGAGGAAGAAGAATACAATTGTGAAAATTTGAATAATGTTACCGATGAACAATTATTCGATGAAGAAGTTCTCGATCAGCAACGTGAACAGGAAATTCAACGACTTACTCAAGTGATTCGAACTGATCAACCTAAAGATGGAAATGTAACTGCTAATATTATTATGCAACAATTAAATGATATGTTAGAAACAATACGACCAACCATCAACTATGATAATAACGATCCAATGGTGCCAAATGAATTAGAAACACCTTCCATCATTTCAACAATGTCACAACATCCTTATCCACCTGTTAATCAAACTGGTCTTGTTCAAGATCATGATCGTCCCTATGCAGATTATGGTCATCTTAATCGACAAACAATTGCTCAAGAATGTCAATTTAATTTACAAGTACCAACAACAACAACAACAGCAACATTGAATAAGCCATCTATTCGATTGAATGCCAAATCATTTGCAATTACTTCATGGACAAATGTATCGAAAGAACTTGTAATGAACAAAATTAAAGAAGAATTTGGTATTGAAAATATTCAATATATCTGTATTGGTGAAGAAATAAGTGAATTAAATCATCAAAGACATTTACATATACAAATTATTTTTAAAGAAAAAATTGATCGAAGAAAACCATTTCTAGATGATATAACTCAAACACATTGTAATTATCAAGTCACACAAAATGATTGTGCTTGGAATGAATACATTAAGAAAGGTGGCAATTGCATTGAATTTAATGAATTCAAATCAACAAAAACACGTGGAGGTGAAAAATATTGGCCTTCACAAACATCATCGTCGTCTTCCTCACATATGGCTTCAAATATAGCTGTAAATCCAACAACAATTACTAATAATCAACCAATTACTACATCTACTACTATTACGAAAACAACTACGACTGTAAGAGCACAAGCGGAAGAACGACGTAAACAAAAAGAACTTATTGCAAGACATGCAATTAATTTAGCAAAATCCAGCGTCCATGATTCCTTAATACACATGCGAGATAATTCTAATGCAACGGAATTTATTCGATATGCAACATGGTATGAATTACATCGTCATCTTTGATTTCATTTCTATCTATCTATCTATATATATATATATGTGTGTGTATCAATAATTTTAGGTATAAAAATACATTTACTCTCATATATAGTTTAGAACTATTCGAAAAAACCAAGATCAAAAGAAGTTTGAAAGCAATAGATACATGGACAAAATCATTTCCTCATTGTACACCAACGTTACGTAAGTATATACCCTAAGAAAAAGCAAAGAAAAAAACTTTACGATACATTTGACTCTTTTTTTTTTAATACTATTTCTATTGGTATCTTGAATACATAGGTGAAGTCGTCAATCGTTGGATTCAAGAAGAATTTTATCGTACATCACGAGCTAAATGTTTAATTCTAATTGGACCAAAAGGCACCGGAAAAACAACATTTGCTCAATCCTTACCTGGTCAACATAATTATTTCAATGGACATTGGCGATTAGACAATTGGAATGATTCCGCTAGTTATTTAATTTTTGATGATATTCCTTGGGATCAATTTGAAGAATTAGGTTTTCCTTTTAAAAAATACTTACTCACACAAAATGGTATTACTATTGTATGTATTAATCATATTTCCCTTTTTGAAATCCTTTTCTTATATGTTCAACTTTTAATTTCTACTAGGCCACAGATACGAATACAGAAATTATTGAAATTGATGTTGCACAACCAGCGATTGTTCTTCTAGAACCAGGTCAATCTGAAGGTGCATTAGGACGCCAACCACTCACATACGAAGATGAATGTGAAGCTACATTTTGGCAACAACGCGCCATTATTTATCGAATGGGTAAATCTATAACATAAGTTACTTAAGTTGAACACAATATGCTTCTATTTCTTTTTCTTTTTACATAGGTCCCAATGAATTCTTTCATAAACCAAGGGATGATCAACATAATTTGGACAATTAAATATCAATGTCCCTATATGACTTCTGCTCTTCTACATTGGTGACTTGATTTCTTCAAAAACAAAACTCAACATTATTCTAATAACACTTGTATAATAAAAACTACTGTCGTTGATTTTCTCATGACTTCTCACTCATATGTATACATTACTTTTGAAATCATTTTGTGTTTCATTTTCTATCATATATTTTTCCTTTCACTATAGTGCATTGTCCACCAGATATTTGAACATATTCCAACATGTATGAAAAATTCTACTACATTCACATAAACAATTGACTTGTCAAAACCGGTCTTGCTAGCTACATGACTATAAACTCTAACATATCTATTTGGATAAATATGTTATCCTAATTGTGAGAGATCGTCAATAGAAATTTTACATTTGAAATATCTGGATAGTATTTGTTTTTGCATTATGATGTTTTTCATTGTTATTGTCTACTGGATCATCTATTTCCATATATATTATGCATCAACTTCATTCACTCACAACATCAGCAAGCATTAGTCCTTACAGTTTTGCAATGCTAGGCAATCTATTACATAAATTATGCAATAGAATTTATTTAACACTCGTGTCATGTATTAGATTTTTTTTGCAACATGTTTTAAAACATGTTCAATTAGTTGACTAAAATCAAATAGTTAAACAGGAAACAATTCACTTAGTCATTGCATCTAGTCAGCCTGTTCAAACACGCAAGTTGTTTATGTTTGTCTTTTAACTAACTGTGTATATTGAATGTTAAAATCTCAACCCTTTTCGATGTAAACTCATAAGCTGAAGACATGCTGTGCTTATTTTATTAAAAAGAATATATGGTTTGCATTTATTTTCTTTTATCCATGTGGAAGAAGGTAAGAAGTACTGAAAGTGAAACGAAAAATGAGAACCCATATATACAAGAGATGCTCTCTGATTATGTCTATTTTGTGAGATGCAAGATTCTCAATGAAACAAATTTATATACCCGAAGTGTATCATGTTTGGCAACTTTTATTTACAATTTCAAAAGTCTTTGAAAGTATTGGCAGATTTTGAATATTCGTCAAGATTCTTTACTTTTATTAATAGTATTGTTACACGAAAATTAAATTCTTCAGATGATACAGAAGAATACAGTTTCTAT